TTAAGAAGTGAAACTGACTGGAATGAAGGGGCTGGGGAGATGACTCAGTGGAATAAGTGCTTCCCTGGCAAGTGCAGGGCCTGAGTTCAATCCCTGGTTCTGCAAAACAAACAAACATACAAACAAAAAAACCCTGACTGGAATGAGACACAGGGTGTGTTTTATGAGGGAAGGGGTAAAAGTCCTAGATAACTGCGAGGATTCAGATCGGCATTTTTTAATGAGATGAAGAATTAAAGAAGAGGGGCCGGGGAGATGGCTCAGTAGAATAAGCGCTTGCCTGGCAAAGACAAGGACCTGAGTTCAATCTCCAGTTCCGCCAAAAAAAGAAAAAAAAAAGAATTAAAGAAGAAATAGGCTGAACTTGAAGACTGGAATTAAGGAATTTAGCTGTGGACATTCTGTGTTTGAGGGGTGTGTGGAACAGCCAGGCACGTTCAGGAGGCCTCTAGAGATGAGGGCTTGAACCTCAGTAGAGAAATGCAGAACTAGCAAGTCAGTGTTTTTATCCTTTCACCCTTTTTCTCTCACAATTTCTGTGCCCTGAGAATGACAATAACTTCCTGATTGCTTTCTTGGCAACAGAAAAAGTGGAATACTGGACTCAGATTGCCAATAGTAGTATCATGTAGTTATTAGCAAGAACAGTGAGTTCTTCTTAAATTGTCTGCCCAGGGAAAAGGGCATCCTTTCCTTTCTTAATAAGCAATGGCATCTCTAGAGAATAATAAAGAAAAGGATGACAGTAAGGAAGTACCACACTTTTCATCAGATATAAAAATACTCACTTTTTCTTCTCTAAAATATTGAATACTTCTGATGCTTTGGCTGAGTGATATGTATTTTGCTTTATTTTATTTTTGAGTTTAGGTTGGCTTTGATCTCATTGTGTAGACCAGGCTGACGTCAAAATCACAGCAATCTTCCTGCCTCAGCCTCCCAAGTGCTGAGATTATGGGCACATGCCCAGGTAGTAACATGTGTTTTAATCAGTATTATAAATGCCTGGATTAAAGTATTTGAAGGAAAGCATAAGATTGAGTAATGCCTCAATGAAGCAAAAAAAAAAAAAATAGAGAGAGGAAAAATTGAGATAACATAACTGCTGATTTGGCTCCTGCATGAAAATGCTTCTTAATCCTTGAGACCCCAACTATAATTTTGTTTATGTCAATTGTCTATGTCATTCTTGTCAATTGTCTCTGTTGAGAAAGTAATTGGAATAAAAAGTCAGTTGGTGACAAGGTTGTTAATAACCACTGCAAACTTGCAAGGAGGTATTTCACAAACTTCCTCAACAGAATTCATATTGTGAGTTAATTAGCAGGACCCAGCCCACTAGAAGGTACCTTGTATAGAGAAGGTCAGTTCTGTTAACAATTCCATGAGGAAAATGTGCTTTTCTAGAGCTCAGACCACTATGAAGTTACCCTTTATATTGAAATAGGGTGCTGTGAATCCTGTCACTATAGTTAATGCAGGAGAGGTAGCAGCTCTTAGTCAAGAGGCACTAGCAAGGTGATAAGTTGTTGTTAGAGTTGGCCTCAGCATAGGACAGTCTCTTGGCCAACCCATTTTGGCCTTGCTTTTCTTTCATGTGAATCTGGTCTTTCCAGCCAAAATTTTATTCTGAGTTCTGAGACAAAAGATGGCAGTATGGCCCATCGGAGGGGGTAAATGTGGCAATGGCAATCGAGTTGGACAACATTTTTTGCATTCATTGTACTGAAATGTTACCCTGGAGAGATCATTTGAAAGGTAAGAAAGAAGAAAAGTAACTGTACCAATACATGCATGAAGAGCTATTCTTACATCATAGATTCACAGTGAAAGAACTCAGCGAAATCCTACAGTGAACACACCTTTTTCATTTTGTACCAGCATTTTCAAAACATATTTGACTTTGTACTCCATTTTCATGTCTGTTAACATGCCACCAAACTGTGTGTGGGTGTGGTGGTAGCAGGGATTGAATTCATTTTGAGAAACATTGCTAGAGGCAAACAATAGCATAGATGAGATAGCATTATGTTTTTTCTTTTTTATTAGTGCAATACAACTGGGTCAAACAGAAACCCTCTTTTCCCCTAGATCAAAAAATAAATAAATAAACCAGCCCACATATCTAGAGTGTTTGATTCTACTGACCTGACTTAGTGTATAGAGTTAAGTGGAGAAAACAAATCAACACAATACTATTTGGCTATAAAAGGATAAAATTCTATCACTTGTGAACAAACTCAAAGACATGATGTTAACTGAAATGAGTCAGAAAGGGCAACTCTATGTGATGTCACCTATATATCGAATGCTGACATCATAGAAATAGAGAGTAGAATGTTGCTTTCCAGAGGCTGTGGATAGGAGGGAAAGCAAGGGCTGGCGAAAAGTTGGAAATAAAGTTACAGTTAGGTAGGAACAGGAAGTCCTGTGCCACCACACAGAAGGGTACCTATAGATAAAGATGATACACTGTGTTTTTCAAAATAACTAAAAGAGACAGTTTTGAATGTTCGCACCACAAAGAAATGCTAAAGGTGATGAGGTTAGCTAAATGCCTGTTTTGATCATTATACAAAATATATATGTATGGAGTCACACTATACCACATAAGTACATGCAATAATTTTGTGTCAATTAAAAATAAAATAAAAATGGGAAAATCTGAATTGTCTAAGTTTAATGACTTACAGTCATGTATGACATTGGGGTCACTGCTATGAATACCAAGGATGAGTCATACTCTCCAGAATGAGGTGGAAATGGACAAACTGGAGAACACTGTGTCCAGCTTCAGCCCCGAGAAATTCCTAATCTAAGAAATTGCTTTCAGGGTGCTTATTTTCTTTTAATTACTTCCTCCAACATAAATTTGTTAGGAAATAAAAACCATTCTGGTGGCTTGAAGGTCGAAAGAAGTATATCTTCACAACTGGAAGAAAAGGCATAAGAATTCTATGGGTTTAGAGGCAGTGGACTCCAAGGCAGAGTCATGAGCTGTCTGCTGTATCCCAAGTGGGAATGGGAGACATTGCCAAGCAGTGTTCAGTACCCTTGGCCTTCATGAACCTTTAAATTAACCTAGCAGGTGAGCTGATTGAAATTTTGCTTCAACCTCCCCTTTCTAATTTACTCCCGTGAAAGGGAGCACAAAAATGCAGCTTTGCTCCTTCCTTACTTTGGGCTTGATTTTGAATAGTTAAGTAGCTCTGGTGGTCACATGTTCAGAAGAGTAGCTGTGGTCTTGAAGCATTTCCCACCTCCATTAATTCTTTAAAAATATGAAGTGTAACCAACAGAACTAAGTGTTTACTTGAGCTGCTGTGAAACTCTGTGTTTGTGTGTGTGTGTGTGTGTGTGTGTGTGTGTTTCCTTCCTCCCCTAACTCCATTTTCTCTTCTAATTGCCTGAAGCAAAAGAAGGATCTTTTTCTACCTTAGATCCTTTGGGTAGATCCACAAGGAACTTTGTTTGCACTGTCAAGAGGCAGTGATGAAGCTCTGAGCTGAAGATAGGACAGAAAGGGAGAAGTTGAAAGAAGACAGAGTGTAGTCTTACGTGGAGAAGGCATTGTTCTGTTTCTCACACCGGATCCCCTTGCAGTTGTTAGGCTCATCGATAGCTCTGGTCTCATAATAAAAGTAAAGCTGGTTCAGTCCGTTGGCAAAAGCCAGCAGTACCAGGCAGTAGATAAAGAGGAATTTGAGGATATCAAGCAGCATGCGTCCCAAAGAGATTTGCAGAGGCCCTAAATGAGAGTTGGCTGTGAACAGGGATATGAGACGCAAGGAACTTAAAATGTTGGATATAGCGAAGAGTGCCTCTGCAATCAAAGTCGGGTGCCACATTTCCCATTCCTCCCTTGGACGAGAACCATTATACTGAAAAGAAAAAAAAAGACACAGAAAAAGAAAGACAAGTGGAAAAGATGAGAAGTACAGTGAGTTATTTATAAAACTCCCCTTTCCACCCTCCAACCCCAAATAAAGCCACCAAAACATGTATGAGTATTCATTTGTACAAAAGCCCCTGTGTGAAGCACTATTTATTTATTTTTTTGCCCCATTTAATCAGTATGTAATACTAATGTATATTCCTCCTACTCTCATCCAACTACATACCCAGCATATATACATAGCAGAATTAATTACAGAGCAATCATCTGGGACGACCACCTGTGGTTTGTCAACAGACATCTTTTAACAGTATGTTGAGCAGGTTGTTAGGGAATGTCACTGAAATGGAACACTGGTATACCCAAAGGAGTAGGGCCAAGTCATCTTTCTTTCTAATGAGATTTTAAAATCAGATCTACTTTCCCTATCTTCCACTGGGTTCTGAGCTCTATGGACAACTTGCAGTTACTGAAGAATGCAGCCTCCTTAGTGTGTGGTATTCAACTTTAACTCCCCTGCTGGCTGCAGTTTGGAATCCATAGAGCATCCTTAGGAATCCATTCATCAGAGCGATTTTGCTACATTTTTGAGTTTGTAATGTAGTCCACACTCTTGCAAATGACATGTCAACTTGCCAGGTAGCAAATTTAGTGCTTCTCCACAGAGAAGCATGTGGATGCATTTTACTATTCTTTTTTACTTTTTTAATATAACAATGAGACAGTTTAAAAGCCTATTACTAGCACAATTTTAATAATTAATACATTGTATATTGTTGTCTTAGTGGTTATTCACTGTACAAGATGAAGACTTGATATCCTGTCCACAAACATTATTAGAGCAAATCTCTCTATTCACTGAATTAAGAGAATGCAGCTGTATATCCTATTTTGAATATACAGATACAAAATGGTCATTCATTTGTATCCCCCTTGTTTGGTTAGGTTTGTCAGAGAGGGCATTCCACTGTCATTTAAATATTGTAGCTGTGTGAATTCAACAAAATACTCCCATAAAGTCCAGTAGTCCATAATAGTAGTGGGTTTTCTGTAAGACTGGCAATGTCAGAAGTTATTGACTTGAGCCTTCACAACTCAGCATATTAATATGGCTTCTTTTATACTTCGTTTTCATACTTTTCTGCTGGATGTTTAAGTACTATTCTTTTTTTCTTTTTACTATTCTTTTGACCCTCCTACACATTAGAATGTCCGTTCAGCTAGAGTTGTTAGGATTGGGCACACATTTTTATATACCTACCCAAACCTTCTAGCTTCTTGAATGTGGTAAGCAACTTTGTAGAAAGAAGACTTCGTTGAGAGGTCTGAGTTCCAATTTGGGCATCATTACTTAAAATTGCCTGTATTTATTACCTTCACCATAACATAAGGATTTTGCCTGCCCTACCTGCATATGTGCTTGTGATTCTGTACCCATAAGAAGTTTTTTGTACTCCCTAAGGGTTGATGTTATGGAAATATAAGGAGCAACTTATTACCATCCCAAGGACAGATGTAGATTTTGCCTAGGATTCAATCTGAAACATATTGCCTTGAATTCTCTTCTAAAGATCACAACTTTCCAGGACTAATGTAAACACCTCTCCTGAGAAAATGTGTTGGGGACCAGATTATATTGTTAGCATTTCTAAAACATGCTTCTGTTCCAAAAACTAAGGAGACTTGTGATGTTAAAATCACTTGTGTATATCCAATATTCTTCTCTTTCAGAAGAATTGGAAAAAAACATGCCACATTTGTGCTTCTTTTACAGATACACTTTTCAGTGGCCAATCAGTTTCATGCATTCCTGGCAAAATCTAGTATTTCTATACTTTCTTCTAAAAATATTCACTGTATTGCTGTGAGTAGTAGGCGTTGTTATGCCTGTTTTACAAATGGAGGAATTGAAATCCGGAGAGGTAGGAATGACTTGCTAAACATCTCAAAGTGAAGTTGGTAACAGAGCCAAGACTAAACTCCAGGTTTCCAGACACTGAGTTTAGTACAGTTTCTATTAAATGTTATTTACATGATGGTTGATTTCGCAGAACAGATGTTAGGTAGGACCTTAAAAGGTTTGAGGTATATGTGACAGCTCAACTCTTTGCTGATAACAAAAGCAAATCTATGTTTTAAAAGTGGAAATAATCAACTGGAACATGGATAGCTTCTAATTTGGAGTTTGTCTATCTCTATGCTGAAAACTGTAACCACAGGGAAGTCTGTGCCCATGACTTGGTGAATCTGGATTTGCAGAACATTCAGACTGAAAGATATTTCTTATGGCAAATCTATACACTGCATAAACATCTTTGGAGAAAACTATCTTAGTACATCAGTTCAGGGACTAAATGTGAATCTCATTTAGCATAGACATCAATGAACTTTTTCTATCAAGGGCCAAGTGATACATCTAGTTAGATTTGTGGGCTTTGTGGTCTTTGTTGCAGTTACTCAATGCTTATCCTGTAGATAACAAATGAACAAGTGGGTGTGGAAGAAGGGCAAATATTGTCCCAAAGCCATAGTTTGTTGACCCCCTGATGTAACACAATAGCTTTCACACTGTGTTCTTTAGTGCTTATGGGTTTAACAAAATCATGTAATCATCACTGTGAGAGAGACAAAGACAGGAACTAGAATATTCATTCTTCTATCTAAACTGAGTCCTTAGTGCTATTTTATGTGATGAAGTTCTGTGGATGTTTTTATTCAAAGATATACTTCCATAGAAAAAATGAAAAGGTTGGAAACTACTGATTTACTCTAATTTGCTTATTAGAGGCAGAATGTAAAGCTCAGAGACATAAAGGGATTGTCTGTGGTCATCCAGCTCATGAATACCAGAATAGGGATTTATTTCAGATCAGTCATACTATGAGGCAAATGATTTTCCTTATATCCTTTGAAGCAGAATGAAATGTGAAAATTGGCTACCTTTTCTTTCAATGGGGCATGAATTGCACTCTGTTAACCTAAAAGTAAAATATAAAGAGAGCCACTCAAATGTGGAGACTGAATAGTAGTAAGAATTTGAGCAGAGTTGTGTTTAGTCTAGTTCAGGGTGAGGAAAAGATTACAGCTTAGTGGATAGCAAGTTCCAGATTATGTTGTGAATATGGAAGTGAGGTGGTGGTTATATCCAAGTGGTGCTATCCCAGAAGACAAAGAAGGATAGTTATCTCCATGTGTAGGATTACCTGGGGAAACTGAGGGCTATCCTTATGTGTGTATTTGTTTCTTTTGGGTGCTTTGGTGTCGATCTTTTGGTTTTGTTGCTGTAGAGTGTGCTAACTAATTTTTCACTCTAATAGAGGATTTTCTTAAGGCCAGCTCATCTCTTGGTGCTTCTCTTTGCTTTAACACAACAGTGGTCTGAAACATGCCAATGGTCCTGTAGCCATTGCTATAGCTTTATCTCATCATGATTGGCTGGAACTGCTTGGTGAGGATCATCTCAGATTGGTTGTGCTGCTGTGGATAAGTGCAGCAGACTTTTCCCACTTACAAATTCTCACTACAAGTCCCAGTTGAATACGTGGCATGTGTTCCTCATATGTCCTTTGGTTTAAGTGGTAAGAGAGGCCTTAGGTGTGAAATGGGATAATTTCTGTGATTAGCTAATGTTGAGCATATATAGACACATTTTCATATCAAATGTTAATCTGTTTCTTCATTATTTATTCTAAACTATCATGTTTAAACAAAATCTACCAATTTTTAGATTTGTAATTTATGATTTCACAAATGTATAAACATTTAAAAAAACCACACCATTTAGTCTTTAGAGTGCCATAAAGATACAGAATTCAGCAAGCTCATAAACAGACACTCATTTTCCACACTATTTTTTTTTCTTTTAAGGAAGTTGTAAGTATGTGTTAAATGATCGCTACATATAAGGCATACTCTTGGGCTCTTTTCAAAACTGTTTCATGAACACATTCAATATTCATGCTCTATATGCCTCCCAAGGTCTTAAAATGTATGCAATATGCATATTAGTGATACAAAAATAGACTAAGTTGTTGGTGATTTTGGGAAATAGCAAATTCCTATTCTAAACCTCTTTAATGTGGAATGTGGTATCAAAAATCATGACTGACTAGATAGTCTTGGAGATGAATTGTCATCCTTGCCTCATCATGGAAAAGTTCAACTAACAGAAAGAAGGAGCACAACTATCCTATTATTTCATGAATTCTAAACAGGAACTCATACCTGTGATTACCCACAGTGAGGCTTTGGAAAGAATTGGAGTTGCGTGTACTTGAGTGCATGTGTGCGGGCATGTGTGCATGTGTGTGTGTGTGTGTGTGTGTGTGTGCGTGTTATCTGAGTTGGTACTGGGGCAGGAGGTGAATGATAAGCAAAAAACTGGATTCATAACTGCTTCAATAATTATCCTGGTGGGTGGAATTGATGAGCGAGGCAGAAGTCACTGAATTGTCCATTCTGTGCCTCTTGCAGTGAAGCTTCTTGTTCTGTTACCCATCACATGAGCAGCTGAGAAGGGTGGGAATGTGTAGCTTTGGGAAGGAATGACTCAGCTGCTGAGAGAGAGATGATGTCACAGTGAAAGTCCTGTTACAGAGAGGGAAATGTCTTGTTTTGTATGACCCTGCAGGGTACAAGGATTATCAATGGATGTCTTTTTCTTTTTTAAGAGAATAAGAATAGTAAAAAAAAAATACAGAATTTCGCTACGCAGAATGTTAGGAATTCAACAAAGGTTGTTATATTGCATATTGTCTTCCAATTTATTGTTCAGATTACTAGACACAGAAATGCAACATTGGTCAAAAATTGTAACAATGAGGGGCTGGGAAGATGGCTCAGTAGAATAAGTGCTTCCCTGGCAAGCTCAAGGGCCTCAGTTCAATCCCTGGTTCTGCAAAAA